GTGTTATCGTTAGTAGTGTTGTTACTATGTTGTTATCGTTAGTAGTATCGTTACTATGTTGTTATTGTTAGAAGTGTTGTTACTATTGTGTTATAGTTAGTAGTGTTGTTACTATGGTGTTATCGTTAGTAGGGTTGTTACTATGTTGTTATCGTTAGTAGTATCGTTACTATTATCATTAGTAGTGTTGTTACTATGGTGTTATCGTTAGTAGGGTTGTTACTATGTTGCAAAGCATCTAAAAAGTGAACACGAGAGTGATAGCTATTGTGTTATCGTTAGTAGTGTTGTTACTATGTTGTTATAGTTAGAAGTGTTGTTACTATGGTGTTATCGTTAGTAGGGTTGTTACTATGTTGTTATCATTAGTAGTGTTGTTACTATGTTGTTATCGTTAGTAGTGTCGTTAGTAGGGTTGTTACTATGTTGCAAAGCATCTAAAAAGTGAACACGAGAGTGATAGTGTGAAAATGATTTTTCAAAAATGATAAAACAATAATGTTATTATGTAAAATTTTCACGAGGATGTTTCAAATCCGATGAACAACATAATGAAGTATTATTTTATATTCTATTCCATGAGTTTGTACTGAATATGGAATCCTTACAATGTTATGTTGTTTTATAAGAGTGATTTTCTAATCTCCATGTAATGATTGATAAACTGATTTGTTTATGTTTACAGAGTTCCGTACGAGACATTTGATATACTGGCAGATGAGGAGGTGCGACAAGGGTTAAAAAAGTTTTCTAACTGGCCTACATTTCCACAACTTTACGTTAAAGGGGAGCTGGTCGGTGGGCTAGATATCCTTCAGGTAAGGTTTTATAAAGGGGAGCTGGTCGGTGGGCTAGAGGGAACTGGTCGGTGGGCTAGACATCCTTCAGGTAAGGTTTTATAAAGTGTAGCTGGTCGGTGGGCTAGAGGGAACTGGTCGGTGGGCTAGATATCCTTCAGGTATGGTTTTATAAAGTGTAGCTGGTCGGTGGGCTAGATATCCTTCAAGTAAGGTTTTATAAAGGGGTACTGCTAGACATCCTGAAGGTAAGGTTTTGTAAAGGGGAACTGGTCGGTGGGCTAGACATCCTCCAGGTAAGGTTTTATAAAGTGTAGCTAGTCGGTGTGCTAGACATCCTGAAGGTAAGGTTTTATAAAGGGGAACTGGTCGGTGGGCTAGACATCCTTCAGGTAAGGTTTTATAAAGGGGAACTGGTCGGTGGGCTAGACATCCTTCAGGTAAGGTTTTATAAAGGGGAGCTGGTCGGTGGGCTAGACATCCTTCAGGTAAGGTTTTATAAAGGGGAACTGGTCGGTGGGCTAGACATCCTTCAGGTAAGGTTTTATAAAGGGGAACTGGTCGGTGGGCTAGACATCCTTCAGGTAAGGTTTTATAAAGGGGAACTGGTCGGTGGGCTAGACATCCTTCAGGTAAGGTTTTATAAAGGGGAACTGGTCGGTGGGCTAGACATCCTTCAGGTAAGGTTTTATAAAGGGGAACTGGTCGGTGGGCTAGACATCCTTCAGGTAAGGTTTTATAAAGGGGAACTGGTCGGTGGGCTAGACATCCTTCAGGTAAGGTTTTATAAAGGGGAACTGGTCGGTGGGCTAGACATCCTTCAGGTAAGGTTTTATAAAGGGGAACTGGTCGGTGGGCTAGACATCCTTCAGGTAAGGTTTTATAAAGGGGAACTGGTCGGTGGGCTAGACATCCTTCAGGTAAGGTTTTATAAAGGGGAACTGGTCGGTGGGCTAGACATCCTTCAGGTAAGGTTTTATAAAGGGGAACTGGTCGGTGGGCTAGACATCCTTCAGGTAAGGTTTTATAAAGGGGAACTGGTCGGTGGGCTAGACATCCTTCAGGTAAGGTTTTATAAAGGGGAACTGGTCGGTGGGCTAGACATCCTTCAGGTAAGGTTTTATAAAGGGGTACTGGTTGGTGGGCTAGACATCCTTCAGGTAAGGTTTTATAAAGGGGTACTGGTCGGTGGGCTAGACATCCTTCAGGTAAGGTTTTATAAAGGGGAACTGGTCGGTGGGCTAGACATCCTCCAGGTAAGGTTTTATAAAGGGGAACTGGTCGGTGGGCTAGACATCCTTCAGGTAAGGTTTTATAAAGGGGTACTGGTCGGTGGGCTAGACATCCTTCAGGTAAGGTTTTATAAAGGGGAACTGGTCGGTGGGCTAGACATCCTCCAGGTAAGGTTTTATAAAGGGGAACTGGTCGGTGGGCTAGACATCCTTCAGGTAAGGTTTTATAAAGGGGTACTGGTCGGTGGGCTAGACATCCTTCAGGTAAGGTTTTATAAAGGGGTACTGGTCGGTGGGCTAGACATCCTTCAGGTAAGGTTTTATAAAGGGGAACTGGTCGGTGGGCTAGACATCCTCCAGGTAAGGTTTTATAAAGGGGAGCTGGTCGGTGGGCTAGACATCCTCGAGGTAAGGTTTTATAAAGGGGAACTGGTCGGTGGGCTAGACATCCTTGAGGTAAGGTTTTATAAAGGGGTACTGGTTGGTGGGCTAGACATCCTTCAGGTAAGGTTTTATAAAGGGGTACTGGTCGGTGGGCTAGACATCCTCCAGGTAAGGTTTTATAAAGGGGAGCTGGTCGGTGGACTAGACATCCTTGAGGTAAGGTTTTATAAAGGGGTACTGGTCGGTGGACTAGACATCCTCCAGGTAAGGTTTTATAAAGGGGAACTGGTCGGTGGACTAGACATCCTTGAGGTAAGGTTTTATAAAGGGGTACTGGTCGGTGGACTAGACATCCGCCAGGTAAGGTTTTATAAAGGGGTACTGGTCGGTGGACTAGACATCCTTGAGGTAAGGTTTTATAAAGGGGAACTGGTCGGTGGGCTAGACCTCCTGCTTTATAAAGATACTGTATACTGATAAGTTTTTGCTGCAGTTTAACATTTGCCTTCTGTAATGGGGAAGAGTTTATCATGACAGCAAATGGTAATACACACAAACTGTACACACCTGTACAATGGTACTTATATCCTGTTAAAAATACTGTAAACATTGTTTTTATTAATATTTGATTGAATTAAATAGACTATGTATTGATAGCCGGACTTCTCAAGTTTAATATAATGCTTATTAAGTAGTTGTTGGTTAGGAAGACGGGTATTACAGACCAAGGGTAGTTTATATATGTCCTTATATATACAACGACTCTGCAGTGATACGGTATTAATGTAACAAAGTCATCTGTGACTTATGAAATCATGACCCTTGTGTGGTTATCGTGATGCCAGACGTCGTGAGTTGTAACATTGAAATGAATGTCAGATACAAACCATTGTCTTTTTATTTATGTTTATTGAAAATCTACCTCCATTTTGGAGAACAAAACTGAATTCAGGGATTATTTTATTCTTGAAAATGATGAAAAATATATTTATGAGTATGAAACTGTATTCTGCTTTTTGTTATTTGTCATATTCCTATAATTCTGATCAGTATTTTTGAGAAACAATAATGCATAATGCATAAATAATCAGCTGCCTTTAGTTAACTTGTAAATGTTTAGAGGTTCAAGTTTATTGGGTTTATCATTCTATTAACAGCGGAGGGTACTTAAGGATGTGTAGTGACAAGTGCAGTTAAATATATTTTAGTCAACTCAGTTTGTGTGTGATATACAGATTGTACAAGTTTTGTTAACCATCAGCAGGGTGTTATTTGTTAATATTTACATTCTGTATGCTTAGACCCATTGACAAAAATTACATTCATAAATGCATAACACAGGTGTTCATAGAATCTCAGCACGTGGGAACTGATAGTAACCTGATCACACTGCGTAGTAATACACTACAAAAACTACTCACTCGGAACGACCGACCTAGATGCTTAATTCTTACATCTTAAAATATTATTGAACTGTGCTTTGTGAAATATCCACGTATTCACGTGTCCTGTGCTACAAATAAACATTGAATATGGAACTACATTTTGTTGTGTTATTGTTGTTGACGGTTGCTAAGATCTCTCACGATAGTGTCACATTTCCCCGCGAAAAAACACTGTTCTCGCCACTGCGTTGCACCCGTGTATAAGCAGGAACAAACCCTGTTTATTTGTTTTATTCGTTGTTATATCGATCCACTGAAAGGATTCGTCAATGTAAATATAAGGAATGATATTTATTTTTTCAACATTTATGAGGTCATAACAACAATGGGTTTTTGGACATATTTTACATGAATCGCTAACGCGATTCATTCAATATGTCCATAAACCCATTGTTGTTATGACCTCATAAATGTTGAAAAAATAAAAATCATTCCTTAA